GACTGTTGTCAGTGGTAGTGACTGACGTTTCGACAACCTGTGCGGAAGTCATCATCAGAGTCACTTGACTCAGTCACTACCACCGACAACAGTCCTTCTCAGGACGATACTCACCCGGGCGATCAGACCACACCTTCACATCATCACTTCACTAAATAATCATTTTAGCTTTACGGCGTATGTCATAATCATTTGCCGGCTAAGTTCAAACTTAGATATACTGACTAATAGTAGAGATTTCGCGAACCAATCACCTCTCTACGTTCACCACAAAGCGGAACACTATCGTTGATACCTTAGAGCTTACCTGTGGGCACACGTGCATCTGAAGAAGAACCCTTTGTGAAAACGTTTGCGTGCACTGACCGCATCTCCAAATATGTGGCTCTCCGTGATCTTTCAGGCCCAATCCAAAAGGGTCCAGGGGCCTTTCGTGGTCATCAAACTCCTTTGGGAGAACAAAAAGAAGCGTTGTTAAACGCACTCACTCAATCACCCTTTACGCCTAAATGGCATGTAGAGCAGCAACCTGCTCCCTCCACATCTTCCGGTCCTTTACCATGAGCTTGATGCCTCCCCAGGTCTTCCCCATCTCCGTAATTTCTCCGTTGTCAAAGCACGAGCTTAAATCAAAGCGACGAATGAGTGCTGAGGAATATCATTTCCTTTGGTAAAAGAAACGATTTTTCCCCTTAGCCAGCGGTACTCAAATAATCTAGAAGAATCCGTAAGGGAGGGGGAAAATAGGCATTTTTCTTGTATCTTATCTTTCATCTACCTGGTCACGTATATCTTCAAAAAATGACTCCTCTTCGATTCCTGGGGGCTTCCATTGGACTGTGTGCTCTAAAATAGATATAAGGATGATAACAGTTTTCAAGGATTGCATAAACGCCACCACTGGTCGGTAGGTTATCCGGAACCGCAAGAAAACAATAGGGACTTTAAGCAAACCACGACGGCTACGGCAACGAGATCGTGGAAAAACAATAGATCTAACTGGCAAAACAATAGCCCAGCACGTGCGTTTTAAAACTTTGTACATTTCGTAGCCGTCCTTTGCAAAAAA